CCATTATTTTTTTCTTTGCAGTAAATCTGAGAGGGAGGCAGGACAGGTATCCTTATTTATCCCCTGCTTTTTCTGTTGAGGAATAGCCATGGTAGAGCCAGGAGAGGAAGCAATGTTCCTGATTACTACTCTAGGGAGTTTTGTCTTTTGTTGTTTTTGCTGTTTGGTTTTTGTGGTTTGAACTGATTTTTGCCCTTGAATAACTTACTAACAAAGTAGAGGAAAACAACTTTCGGGGAGTTTGTACTTACATTACTTTCTTTTAAAGGATAAGGAATGTTTGGGGATAAAAATATAAGGAAACAATGTAAGTCTATGGAAATGTTTTCATTAGATGTATTCTTTGCCTGCAGGCTCTGGCAGACTTGCCCACCTGATCCTGAGACCTCACTGCAGGCACCTCATTCCCAGATTAGAATGTATGTAAACTATATGCATTTGAACACTGCTTCCTGTAGGCTCCCTCTGCACCTGCCTCTCTATGCCCCTGGTTTGTATTTGTGTGGCGTCTAATGTTCCCCACTCCTCATTTAGCCGTTCCCTCTTGGTCGTCTTGGTTACACCTATGCCCTCAGGACACAGGGGAGGTGTCCCACAATTGTGCACGATGAATGGGTGTGAGTAAACCTGTTCCTTGGAAATAAACGTAATGAAGGATATTTGCTTGACACCGAAATGGTCAATAAATTGAGCCAGAGTGTAATTGAAATGTCTCATGCTTTGAAGCATCCACATTGACTTATTCTTGGTTTATTTTTATCTGATGTGTTGCCATCATATATGCATGAGCTCAGCAAGGAAGAGTCTAGGCCAGTAGTTTGTCTTAACTGAATCTTTTTTCCATTGAGAATAAGTAAAAATACTCAATTACATTTTGGTTTTTCCCCCTTATTCAGTACTATAGCAGCTTAAAATATATTTAAAAATCAGGCATAACATTACTATTTTGTCTTTTGTTTTTCTAAATTCTTTCAGTTGTTTTGTCTGTATGCATCTGTATATTTTATGCCATTATAATCATAGCATCAGTGTAAGTTCATATTCTTTCCTTAGCATATTAAACATGCTTACATTAGTATATCATCTTCCATGCCTTTAGTGACTAAATATTCTTATATCTAAAAAATGTACCAAAGTGCATCTAACAAAGCCCATATTCTCGGACATTTAGATTAACATTATGGACAGCAATAAAAAGTAAAGTGTTTCTCTCTGGTTTTTATTGTATGTTGTGATTTATGTCTATGCGTATGTAGTTAAACAGGGCAGTAGTAGATAACACATAGAAAGTTAAGACCATGCCACTGGAGCTGGGGTCCCTGGGTTCAAATCCTGACTCTGCTGCTTATTGTGTGACCTCCCTGGCAAATTATGGGACCTCTGAGTATCTAGTCTTACGTGTAAAATGTGGAGGAAAGTTCTAGTACTTTATAAGGTTGTTGTGAAGATTAACAATAAAGAGTTTAGAACACTGATACAAAGTAAAGTCTTATCAAAACGTAGCTATTAACCTACGTTTGGGCAGGGATGGTGGGTGGACTCTTTGGTAAAACAGGATTGGCCACAATCCTGCTGATAATTGAAGCTTGGTGACAGATACAAGAGGATTTGCCAAACTATTTATTCTACTTTTTATGTTTACATTTCTTTTTTTTTTTTTTTTTTTTTTTTTTTTTTTTTTTGAGACAGGGTATCTTTCTATAGCCCAGGCTGGAATGCAGTGGTATAATCACAGCTCACTGCAGCCTCGACCTCCTAGGCTCAGTTGATTCTCTCACTTGAGCTTCCCAAGTAGCTGGGGCTGCAGGCATGTGCCACCACACCCAGACAGAAACTTTTTTTAATAATAAAGATGAAATCACATATAGTACAAAAACATTTTAGCTTTTACATTTTTTTTAAATTTCTGAATATATTTTTTTGGATGTGTTTCTATAAGCAAGACCACCAAGTAGGAGATCTTTATAATCATTTTTGAATACAGCCAAATTGTTTTTTTTTTTAAGAATTGTTTAATATACAGTGCAATCCTCAAACAGTTTTATCAGTCTTAACGCTGAATATTATTACCATGACGTGTTTTTCATCTAATTTTATAGGTAAAATGGTATGTTACCGTTATTTTAATTTCTCCTTTTTTTTCCCCCTTTTTGAGACAGGGTCTTGTTCTGTCACTCAGGCTGGAGTGCAGCGGTGTGATTATGGGGCCTCTCTATGTTGCCTAGGCTCGTCTCGAACTCCTGGCCTCAAGTGATCCTGCCACCTTGGCCTCCAAAAGTGTTGGGATTACAGGTGTTGGTCAGCCACTGCACCCAGCCTAGAACATATTTTTGATTAATGGTTGCTGTGATCAAGCCATAATAAACTCCTCTGAGGTGACAGCCACCAGTCGTCTCATATAGCGTCCCCCTCGGTGTGCAGTCATCTTCATTGTGGGCCATTTGCCAGCAGAGGCTAGACTGCAGATGCCCCTTGCCAGAGAAATTTGACTTCAGTAAATTTTCAGATGAGTTTTGGAAGAGCAGGGAAACTACAATTCTGCTTTAAGGTGTTGGTTATTTATATAATGAATATATTCATATTTGCTCTCCTTCTTTATCGTTTCCCACTTCTCACAGTACTGATCACAACTGCTAATTCCAAATTCCAGTACACTGTATGATCACCAGCTCTCTCTGTAGCTTTTGAGATATGGTCAACTATTGATCATAAGGATACTGAATAACTTGATATATATATTTTTGTTTTACTAATTTGGTTTTTGAGTCTCCTGTTGGCACATTTCTGGTGCATTTCTCTTACTATTACAATCCTTTTTTTAAAAAATGGAGGATGCTAAGGCCTAATATTATACAGTGTTTTATGAAAACTTTATAGTTTTCTATATTCAAACCTGTAATTTGTGAGTGATGGCTTTTTACGATGATGTCTGATGTACTTGAGCCATGTTTCCTGCCGGCCTCTGTGTAACCATAGCGACTGAGTGGTGACAGTGTATGAAGCCCTCTATTTTTTTGTCTTCCTATTTATGACTTGACAAATGGCACCAGAGGCATAAAATTGTTTTATTTGTCAGATTTGCATAAGAACTTTCTTACAGAAAGCTTTTATGGTATGTAACACATCCATAAATTCTCATAATCGTCCTTTTGAGGTACTTCTTACCGTTTCATTGTTGTTCTTCTTCCTTTTTCATTGTTTGGGAAACTTTTAAGAAATATTTGTCATGATAGATCCTACTCATTGTTTAAAAGAACCATCCAAAATGGAATGGAAGGTCTCATTTTTCTTTTTGTGAATAATCTTTAGAAAAGTTAAAATTAAAGTCTAACTTTGTCATGGAATTATATGGTTAAATTTGGATGCTGGTTATCAGACTTAAAAAAAAAAGTATCTTTTGAAAGATCTGAGACTTACTTAGGACCAGCAAAAAACAGAGTTCTAAAACTTTTATATAAAAGTAGAATGTAAATTGTGTCTATGAAAGCGTATCTGTGGATGTATTGTATCTGTTTCACAAAACCTGAGTGGAATAAAGAAAGAAAGAAGAGAAAAAAAAATCTGAGTAGAGTCTATAAAAACAGTTCTCAAGAGTGTTTCTACTGATAGTAGATAAATACAGAGGGATATAAACATCTTGGTTAAATGAATAAACAGCAGAAAGGATTAGCAGAAAGGATCAAAATGCAGATTTGTGTCACCTTGGGAAAGATGTGTTACTTTTTACTCAGCCAGCAGGTTAAGTCCCGGTGTCAGGTGAGCCAGGACTGTAGTCATAGATATACTTACCTCTCCTTGCAATTTTAGCTGAATCATAAAACTTGGGGATGATACAATTGACCGAGGAACTTGTTCATGTGTTAGTCATAAATTCAGAGTACTTTTCCAATGTGACGTGTGCTTTCTGCCCTAGGTATATACAGACAATCTTTTCAGATTTATCTATGAGCCGTCTTGCTAATTGTTTTGCCCACATTCTGTAGCCTTTCCCCTCTGTTGACCTGACTCTGCCTCTTCCACATTCCATGCTGAGCCTAATGCAGGGCTGGATTGGCTTCCTACCCATGCCATAATGTCTGCAGGTAAGTATCAGCTGAACTCTCTGCCTTCCTGGTCTCCACTCTGGTCGCTGTGGGCTTTGCATACCCTCTTTCCTTTCAGGGACTGGGCTCCTGGAGGCCAGCAGCCTCCCTGACCTCAGTGCTGGAATCAGCTGCCTTCTCTTCTTCCTCTTGCACACAGCGTCCCTATACTTTTTTTTTTTTTTTTTTTTTTTTTTGAGACGGAGTTTTGCTCTTGTTACCCAGGCTGGAGTGCAATGGCGCGATCTCGGCTCACTGCAACCTCCGCCTCCTGGGTTCAGGCAATTCTCCTGCCTCAGCCTCCTGAGTAGCTGGGACTACAGGCACGCGCCACCATGCCCAGCTAATTTTTTTGTATTTTTAGTAGAGGCGGGGTTTCACCTTGTTGACCAGGATGGTCTCGATCTCTCGACCTCGTGATCCACCCGCCTTGGCCTCCCAAAGTGCTGAGATTACAGGTTTGAGCCACCGCGCCCGACCTAGCGTCCCTATACTTTATTCAGTTACCTGGTTTGCATTGTCTCACTTTTTCTGACCAAATTTTCTTGATCATTTAAAAATTTCATTGGAGTTCGAGCCAGTTCACAAGCTAGACCTGATTTAAAGGAATGTTTTAAGGAAATCCGGAGAAAGAACTAATAAATAGTAGATTTTTCACCCCAGGTCTACATTTTATGTCTCTATTCTTAAGCGGCAGTACGGTACAGGGTTAAAAGTAAGGGACTCCTGAGCCACATTATCTTCATTTTAATCCTGGTTCTACCAGGTATTTCTGTGTGACCTTGGGCAAGTTATGTAAGCTCTCTGTGCCTCAGCTTGTTTATAAGGGAGATAATAAAAATCCTTACAGCATATAGAGTTGGTGAAGTTGCATGTGGTGAAAATTAAATGAATAAATAAAGCATCTACACTAGCACATGACCCAAATTAAGTGGCATGCAAGTGTTGCTGTATTGCGGTTCTCCTCTGAGTAACTGGGCCTGTGACCTGCCACTTCTGTCAGTCTTACCAAGGCTCAGGGCTGCCCCAGGCCTCTGCTCCACTGTCATAGTAATGTTTGCACTTTGCTAGTCACCTGTAAATGTACATACTGTAGAATCCTAAAACCAATATCCTAAAATATGTATATTAGCAGATTATGACAGAAAACACCAGAATTTTTATCAAAGAGAAAACAAAGTGGGTATAATATTGTAAGAATTAGAATACACCTGTTAAATTACTCTAGGTTGGCTAAGAAACAAAGCAATACAAATTGGGTCTTATCCACCATTTTTGGCAACCTAAAAATAACCTGACCATCCAGTTCCTATCTGGCAATAATCGCTTTTTGCAACTCTTGCCTATGTGAAGATTTGCATCTTGATGGGTTTTGTATGAAAGTAAAGGAGATGCAGGAACGCTATCAATGGACCCTACACTAACCATTGGCATCTCTGTGCGAGCAATGTATTGCACAGTTGTGTGACGTGAGAGCAGCTGGCCCACTGCTGACGTGTGTGCATTCAGTAAGGCTTCACTCACACCTAAGGCTTCCTTGAAGAGACCATGCTGCCATTACATTTGGATCACTACCCACCCCCAACCAACACACACACAGAAATATGAATCAGTTTTCCGAGCACCACACCTATTCTAGGCTCTGTACTGGATCTGGAGGGGTGATGACTAGCAGTGAGGGTTTTGGCTCCATCCTGAGTCAGCAGCTGGAAGTGGGCCCGTGGCCGGCTCTGGTGACAGTGGGCCATCTGTGGCTGGTGTCAAGCTCACGGATGGAGATCTCTCGTTACGTACCTATATCAATGACCAGTAAAGAGCAAGGCATAAGAAACTCTTGGGTCTCTGGGAGTGTTATCTTTTTACTCCTCATATAACTTCATGATAAGCTGTTTTGAAATTTGACATTAATTTAGAATTTCTTGCCTTTTCTGCTCCTTAGTGGGATTCTAGGTGGTTGTCTTTGGAATTGAAATACCTGTTGGCTTCTGGTTATTTTGGGGGTAATTCATAACAGTCTACCATTCCTGGTCTTTGGTTTTAGTGGGCTGTGAAAAAAACGAGTTGTTCAACAATGATGTCGTGATACAATGACGTGAAGATGTGAGTCATCATGACATCCACCAGCCAGAACTGCTGGGATTCAGAGATGACTCACAGTAAGACGTCAGTGTCTGGCTCAGTAATTCCTTCTTCCACATGTATCCTTCAGCATCTAGAACCCTGAAATTGGTTTCTCTAAGAAACCAAGAGGCCAATAAGAGTAATGTAGATTGTTGATTTTTATAGTTATTTTTCAAAAACTAATATTTTAAACATATCAAAATTATTTCAAATGATAATGTACTTAATATACTATTTGGTTTAAAATGTTAACTTTTTGTCACGTATGTCCTAAAGTCTTTTCATGAAGAAGTAAAATCTTACAGACATACCAGTAAGACCACCTTCCTGCCCGTTATGCCCCTATTCCTTCCCTTATGTTGCTGAGGTGGTGTATGTTCTTCCATTGGCTTTTTAACTTGTATTACATATCTGTGCATTCATAAATAACCTGGAGTGTTGTGTGTGTTATAATCATGTAGTGTGTCCTTTTGCAACCCTTGTTTTCCACCCATTCATTTTGAGTTGATGTGTTGATGCAGGTATATACAAAACTCATACAGCTAATGTCTTTTAGTTGAATAGGATTTTACTGTAGGAAACATGCCATCATTTATTTAGATACTTTTTGTAGAAAGTGAAATAAATAAAAGTTCCTCTTCGCCTGTTAAGAATAGATAGTAGTCTCTTTCTCTAGGTTAATCTATTCAAAGGCCTTGTTATATCTGCTAGCTAAAATAAAGAAATCAGTGTATTTTGTTCTTACATTTGAACTTTGATATCTGCCTTGACATGCCTGGATAAGCCTGGGCAAGCCTTAGGTCATAGCTTTTTCCTCTTTGCTTATTTAGAAGTATTTTTGCTTCTCTCAGCATTCCGTAAGCTACTTTTTCTTTTCCGTTGTTCTCCTCTGCCTATAGGGTATACAGCCTAGAATGTGAGGTCCAGTTCCAGCCAATGGAATCAGGAAAGCAATAGGGCTGAACACGTTAGATGTAAATATGCCTGCTCTTCCTTTGTTTGGTGCACTCTTGTGGCAAGACTGCTGATGAGCAGTACCCTTTCTGCAGAAAGTAAAAGAAACCCTTGCTGAAAAACCTTTTGTCTGAATGCTGATTCTTCCCTGTGACATTGCAAGAAAAGCACTTATTCCCAACACTTTTTAACTTAATTATCACAAAACACTTTGTGGTATTTTCAGAGAACATATTCAAACCTAGGTTTACGCAGTTCCATCATGCCTTCTATAAACATTTGGAAAATAAAGTTGGGAAAATGAGCTTACAGGCTACCTCCGAGCATCTCTGATCTTCATGTAAGGGAAATTAGTGGTGGTATGCTCCACTGGCCTGGGGTGGGCAAGACCAAGGTAGTCTTGTCTTCCTCAGTGGGGCTTCACTGTAGAAGGACCCCTGGGTCTTCAGAGCATGGCTGGTCAGCTACTTGGGACATTGGCTCAAGGGAAATCCGAGATCCTTTCTTTTTAAATGAGCAATGCAGTAAATCTGTGACATATTTGAGGCTCAAGAAGCATTGAGATATAGGGAGAAGTTTCAAAGAAGTGTAAGACATAAACCCAACCTATAAGAAACTTTAAAGTGTAGCAGGGGAGACAAAACTAACATAGAACAATTGCATGCTAAACAACTTGGTATACATGCTACTGTACCCCTTGTTACCTTTGACAAAATGGATATTCTGTTTTTTTTGTTGTTGTTGTACTTTAGGTTCTGGGGTACATGTGCAGATCTTGCAGGATTGTTGCATAGGTACATACATGGTAAGGTGGTTTGCTGCACCCATCAACCTGTCATCTACATTAGGTATTTCTTCTAATGCTATTTCTCCCCTAGTTTTCCCAACACCATTTATTAAACAGGGAATCCTCTCCCCATTGCTTGTTTTTGTCTGGTTTGTCAAAGATCAGATGGTTGTAGATGTGTGGCGTTGCCTCTGAGGCCTCTGTTCTGTTCCATTGATCAATATCTCTGTTTTGGTACCAGTAGTGTGCTGTTTTTATTACTGTAGCCTTGTAGTATAGTTTCAAGTTGGGCAGCATGATGCCTCCAACTTTGTTCTTTTAGCTTAGGATTATCTTGGCTATGCAGGCTCTCTTTTGTTTCCTTATGAAGTTTAAGGTGTTTTTTTTTCCAGTTCTGTGAAGAAGGTCATTGGTAGCTTGATGGGTATAGTGTTGAATCTGTAAATTACTTTGGGCAGTAAGGCCATTTTCATGATATTGATTCTTCCTAACTATGAGCATGGAATGTTTTTCATTTGTTTCTGTCCTCTCTTATTTCCTTGATCAGTGGTTTATAGTTCTCCTTGAAGAGGACCTTTACATCCTTTGTTAGTTGTATTCCTAGGTATTTTATTGTCTTTGTAGCAATTGTGAATGGGATTTCCCTCTTGATTTTGCTCTCTGTTAGTCTGTTATTGGGGTATAGGAATTCTTGTGATTTCTGCACATGGATTTTTTTTATCCTGAGACTTTGCTGAAGTTGCCTATCAGTTTCAGGAGACTTTGGGCTGAGACAATGGGGTCTTCTAAATAAACAATCATGTTGTTTGCAAATAGAGACGATGTAACTTCTGCCTTTCCTAATTGAACAATCTTACTTCATTTTTTTTTGCCTGATTGCTCTGGCTAAACCTTCCAATACTGTATTGAATAGGAGTGGAGAGCAAGGGCATCCTTGTCTAGTGCCAGATTTCAAAGGGAATGCTTCCAGTTTTTGCCCATTCATTATGATATTGGCCGTGGGTTTGTCATAAATAGCTTTTACTATTTTGAGATATGTTCCATCAATACCTAGTTTATTGAGAGTTTTTAGCATAAAGGGCTGTTGAATGTTGTTGAAGGTCTTCTCTGCATCTATTGAGATAATCATGTGGTTTTTGTGTTTGGTTCTGTTTATGTGGAGGATTACATTTATTGACTTGTGTATGTTGAACTATGTTGAACCAGCCTTACCTCCCTCGGATGAAGCCCACTTGATCGTGATGGATAAGCTTTTTGATGTACTGTTGCAGTCAGTTTGACAGTATTTTATTAAAGATTTTTGTGTCTATGTTCATCATGGATGAACATTGGCCTGAAGTATTCTTTTCTTGTTGAGTCTCTGCCGGGTTTTGGTATCAGGATGATGCTGGTCTCATAAAATTATTGGGAAGGATTCCCTCTTTTTGGATTGTTTGGAATAGTTTCAGAAGGAGTGGTACCAGCTCCTCTTTGTACATCTGGTAGAATTCGGCTGTAAACCCATCTGGACCTGGACTTTTTTTGGTTGGTAGGCTGTTAATTGCTGCCTCAACTTCAGCCCTTGTTATTGGTCTATTCAGGGTTTCAACTTCTTCCTGGTTTAGGCTTGGGAAGGTGCAAGTGTCCAGGAATTGATCCATTTCTTCCAGGTATACTGGTTTCTGTGCATAGAGTTGTTCGTAGTAATCTCTGATGGTAGTTTGTATTTCTGTGGAATCTGTCATGATATCCCCTTTATTATTTTTTATTGCATCTATTTGATGCTTCTCTCTTTTCTTTTTTATTAATCTGGTTGGTGGTCTATTTTGTTGATTTCTTCAAAAACCATCTCCTGGATTTATTGATTTTTTTGAAGGGTTTTTTTTGTGTGTCTCTTTCTCCTTCAGTTCTGCTCTGATCTTAGTTATTTCTTTTCTTCTGCTAGCTTTTAAGGTTTTTGTATCTTGCTCCTCTAGCTCTTTCAATTTTGATGATAGGGTGTCGATTTTAGATCTTTCCTTGCTTCTCATGTGGGCATTTATTGCTATAAATTTTCCTCTAGACACTGCTTTAAATGTGTCCCAGAGATTCTGGTACGTTGTGTCTTCATTCTTGTTGGTTTCAAAGAACATCTTTATTTCTACCTTCATTTCATTGTTTGTCCAGTCGACATTCAGGAGGCAGTTGTTCAGTTTCCATGAAGTTGTGTAGTTCTGAGTTAGTTTCTTAATCCTGAGTTCTAATTTGATTGCAGTGTGGTCTGAGAGACTGTCATGATTCCTGTCCTTTTGTATTTGTTGAGGATTGATTTGTTTCCAATTATGTGGTCAATTTTAGAGTAAGTGTGATGTGGTGCTGAGAAGAATGTATATTCTGTGGATTTGGGGTGGAGAGTTCTCTAGATGTCTATTAGGTTTGCTTGGTCCAGATCTGGGTTCAAGTGCTGAATATCCTTGTTAATTTTCTGTCTTGTTGATCTAATATTGCACTCTGATTTCTCATCCAACAGTACTTAGCAGAAGTCCTTACAAAACATCTAGTGTAGAACAAGTTCATTTTTTCGAAGGGTGTATCATATTCCACTTCAGGGAAATAGAATAACTTATTTGTCCATTCCCTTATAATGGCTCATTTTTTTTTTTTTTTTTTTTTTGCTGTAAAGTGCTGAAAACTGTAGTAATGTCCTTATGTATGTGTGTCTGTATCTATTTTTATTTTTTTAATTTTTTAGGTTTAGGGGTACATGTGCAGGTTTGCCACATAAACATGAGTCACAGGAGTTTGTTGAACATAATGTTACATCACCCAGGTATTAAGCTCAATACCCAATGGCTACCTCTTCTGCTCCTCTCACTCTCCCACTTCAAGTAGTCCCCAGTGTCTGTTGCTTCCTTGTGTTCATAAGTTATCATTTAGCTCCCTCTTATTAGAGAGAACATGTGGTACTTGATTT